CCCCAAAACCCCAAAACCCCTCGAAGTTAATAAATTAGAAATAGCTATTTAAAAAAATTGAATTTTAGATATACAGTAAATTACCTAATTAATTATAATCAACCATAATATGGCTTAATAACAAATCACTAATCAAAGTAAAAATAGATCAAAGATGATTCTTAACTTATTATTCATTCTCACTCTTGCTTAACCTGTTTTTCTACAGGATTAGCTATTAATGGTAATTGAAGTTTGTAGACACGGAGCATGATCCCCTATCGTCTAGACAGATAATTTAACATAAATTTATTGGGACATGGGACTTGGCATGCTTACAAGTGTTGGTATGAGGCAGCATTACTTGCTAGGAAGTGAGGTCAGACAAAGATACATTCAAGATTAGCGTTTGCTTGACTCTGAATACAATGCAGATTAGATTGAAATTTACTCAACTCTGATTGAAAGAACTTACTACTCTGCCCTTTCTTAATTTTCAGGAATATATCCAAACATCTAGCAAAATATTAAAAACTAGAAATTGTCCTAAACTTAACAGAAAAATGCTATTCTTCCAATATAGGTAGGTACTGATCCTGATTATGATAAGCTACTTTTGTAAGTAAATAAGGATCTTAGTGATACGATTTCCATGGATTTTAATGCGCATCCACATGTGTTTCAATTATACAGCTATTACAGCATTTACAATTTTGCTAAGAGTAATTATGAATCAAGTCCAAAATGTCCTTACTGAGATTAAATCAGTAGTGAGTTGGATAAACTTTCTAGTAATAGTGAGGAATTTAAGGCAATTGACTAGAAAGACAATTAAATGTTACAGACTCTAGAAGCTAGTCTTAATAAAACTAATTAGATAGGAAGTAATGATTAAATTTTTGATGAAATTTAATAGGCTTAAGCTAATGGACTTAAAATGCCTTTTACCTTGACAGAATAAGATCAAATGACAATAAAAGATTTTAAACGATTTGATTTAGAATCTAAGTATGCTCTAAAAAGAGATGCAGCATTGTTTGACTCATAAACTTTAAGAAAGATTATTGCAGATAAGCTAATATTGAGAGTACAAAATAATACTGACTTAAGATTAATTCTGATGTCTTTGCATGATACAGATATCTCATTGCTATTGGTTACAATTGACTAGCCATAAAATGAACAGCCTCCTGTTGCAACAACACTCTTCTTAGAATTGTATAAAAGCTCAAATACCTCACAAGATGTGCTTTATATAAGAGCAAAATACAACGATAGACTACTAAATCTTCATAAGTATTGCTATGACACTGATAACTCAATTAAATTTAATACGAATTTATGTGACTATGAAACTTTTCTTAAAAAACTTCAAGGAGATTAATTCAAATGCCAAATTAAAACAGATAGTGAAACTGGTTTAAGTACTGGTTAAATTATCGGAATAACTTTTGGGGCTATTGCTTTGATTCTTGTATTGGCAATTATAAGCTATTTCATAGTAAAAAGAAGAATTAAAAAC